AGCTACAACTCATTAATCATTCATTCATTACCTTCAAACCATTTCATTCTGCCTTTAATCTCAACCTGAAATGAACTAAAAAGAACTTTAACATTATAAACAATATTGGTTACCAATAAAATAGGGTACACAACAACTATTTGGAAGAAATTCATGCTATATAATCCGACTATGTTTTAGGATTCTTAAGTCGGATCAATAATACATGCATTGAATTTTTAATGTTTTTAATCTTGAAAGAGAAATCGGATTCTCAAAAGCTATTCTTTTAAACAATCACATAAAAAAGGGTTGCATATCAAGCACATGATTTGATCAATACAAACCCCCCATTTTAGTGGGTTATGTAACCGACTAGCACACATTGAAAATACATACAATAAATTACTAAGCAAATATTAACCCAATTTGGTCACAATGTTACGCCCTAAGAAATTGTCAAAAGAATCTAACAATTACAAAGACTACCTAACATCAAGTAGTAAGAAACTCTCATTTAAAAGAATAAAAAATGTACAAAACCAACGTTCGTATACCAAATTTTGTTGCATTGCTAGACTCATGATTTGAGTTATTTTCATTGAAGCAAATCTTTAAGCATTTTGTCATTAAATACAAAACCCGTAATACACAAACTAAACAAAAGAATAACTAAATTAAACCCACAATATAATTAATCATCTAACCACATAACGACAAAGTGGGAAGGTTCTTCACCAATAATACTCAAGAAGAAGCCTACCCAAGTTTTCTTATATACAGGAATCTCCAAATAAGTTGATTGAAAATAAGGGTGGAAAAATGCTTTACGGACCATGCTTTCAATTTCGGCATAGTAATATGAATACAATGAGTTTCTAGATATACACCATGGATCATAACACAGATAGGGACTTGTGCAAGCTGAAACAACACATTATTGATATGTGCATGATTGATAACTCGGCAAATCTATTCTTTTCATGTACTCCACAAAAGCATCCACCATTGCCTGCAAGAAACCATTCCCAAACTACAGACAATTATCAGAAAGGTTACAAGGCATAATGTTTCAACACCAAAAAACAATACCCAATGGCACAAATCAGTCAAATAGACACCAATAACCAAAGCCCATTAGCTTAAATAAGCAAAATATAGAAAATAACTCCAGCGCCCAAATGAGTACTTAGTGCTTGGCAAAAAAAAGGTGTAATTATGAAAATCATATACAAAGTTCTCTAGATTGGCATCAATCCTCTATTTGGAACCTGTAATCAAAAGCATTGATCAGATAGAGAGAGGAAGAAAATAGAATATACAGAGGACAAGAATGGAAATCATACAACCAATAAAATTCAATCAACAAAAAAAAAAAATCATCATCATCAAATTCAATCAACACCAAAATGAGTACATGTCAAAAACATTTTAATTTATAAATTAATCCAAACCAAACACAAAATACAAACACCAAATATCTTGGGAAAGAATCACAGATGGGTTTTCGGGAGGCGAGTTAATGGGTTGGGGTTTTTGGGAGGGGAGGCTTCTGGGTTGGAGTGGGAGTGAGAAATAAAATCGACGAAGGAGAGGAACATAGATATAGAGAGAGTGAGCAAAACCTAGTGTGTTGGCGATGACGATGGCTGGCAGTGAATATGGCTGGCGGTGGCAATGGCAGAGAGAAGTTATGAGAGAGAGTGTGTGAGGGGCAGATGTATAATTATGGAGAGATATATTTTGGAGAAAGAATTTTGATCGTTGAATCAAAAGTTAGGTAATAATCTAAGCCGCGAAAATTTAAGACAAAAAAATTTAACTAATTTATTATATAGATAAAGATAAATATATAGGACGGCGTATGCTAATAAACCTATATTTTATTAAAAATAATCCTTATTATTAGAGTTTTAATAAATATTATATATATATAACCATCCAAGCTAATTTCTCAAATGTTTTGAATGAGAATAAGGAGAGATAAAAGAAATGTAGTAGACTTATGTAGGAATGTAGATTAATTTGGATGAGATTGGGAAAGATTTGAAAGATTTCGAATGAGAGAAAGAGAGGCATGAGTCAGGAAATGTTGTTGGCGCGGAAAAATAAAATTCAATACTCACTGTAGACAGTCAGATCAGTATTTATGAGATGATCTGAACCATATTTTATGTTGAGATTACATTGTTCGTTAAATGTGTTTATGTTTTGTCTCAAAACGATCTGAACTTCTCTTTGTCTCTAAAATTCAAACTCTGCTCTACTTTATTATATATATATATATATATATATATATTATATATATATATATATATATATATTTAAATTATCATTTAATTACAAAAAATAATATCATTTAAACACAAAAAATAGTAATATTCAATATTAATATTTAAAAAAAAACAATAATAGCATGTTCAACAAAAATAGTAACATACTTAACAAAAACAGTAACATGCTTAAAATATTAATTAAAAATAAAAACATCAATATAAAAACATTGAACAAAATTAAAAATAAAAATAGTAGCATTCAAACCATAACCAGAGGAAGAAGCCTCTAATTCTTCAACATCCAAAAAAGTAACACTAAAAAGTAATAACATGTTCAATAAAAAATAGTAATATAAAAAAAAATAGTAATATGGTCAAAAAAAAAACGTAGTAACATGAAACATTGAAAAAATTCAGGGATTATTTATCAAAAAATTAAAAATAAAATTGAGGAGTAAACTAATAACACATTGAGCAAGTTTTTCAATTTTTTTTTCTCGAAAATCAATAACATATAATTTCATGATGACCAGAACGTAGTAGAAGATATGATAGTTGTTGATGATATTCCAAATCTTACTGATTTTAATGTTATGGAGAAAGAAATGATATCCAAGGAGAAAGATTTTTTGTACTGTAGTGATGATATTTTTTTAACGAGAGAGAATATAAATTTGAATTTTAATTTAGGAGTAAATTAAGAGATAATAATTTCTAATTTAAAAAATTAATTTAAATCTAATTTCAAGATCTTTAAGATTTTATAATTGAACAAAATAACACTGTTAAGAGCATTATTGAGATTTAAAAAAATAGTGAATTTAAATACTTATTAGTACGATAAAAAATGAACTTATCACAAAATGAGTTTACTTAACGGATTCAAATCATTGTAAATCTAAGAGAACTCAACTCTAATTTTCACTTATAAAATTACTAGAGTGTCTCCTTGCATAGCACACTTTTTTTAATATATTGATCGAATTATTGTAATTAAAAAATTAAAATTATTTTAAATTGGATATTGCATTTATAAAACTACTAGAGTGTCTCCTTGCAAAGCACATTTTTTAATATATCGGCAGCAGTCCAACATCGTTGACGGGCCAAAAGCCAGGCCGGGCCGAGGTCGATGTTTGTTGGCACATATGGTCTGGTTTTGTACGCTTCAAATCCGATACGGGAGCAGATGCTCGTTCTGAAAATCTATCTATAATATAAAATATGGTAAAATTAAATAAGTTTATAGACAGTTGCAAATATACTTACTCAACGACCAACAATATATTTTATTTTTTAAACCCATTTTGTTGTAGTCATTTTCAGTGTTTACTCAACGACCAACAACATATTTTATCTTTTAAACCCATCTTGTTGTAGTCATTTTCAGTGTTTGATTATTTCAAATTCATAATTAATATTCGATTATTTTTTAAATTGAATCGTATCTTCAAATACGAGATATCACTTGTACTTCAATATATGAGACAGTCAAATTCTAAGTAGTTTTGCTCTCAATACAAATTATGAAAATATGGTTTTTTAAAACCCCTAAAAGAGAATTGAATTGACAAAAAAATTAGTACCAAACCAATCTCTATATCATTATTGTAAATATAGCTTCCGAATTGGCATATATTGTACAGTAAGTAACTTTAGTTTTTTTTAGTAGTGATCGGTAGATAGTAATCTTGACCATGAAAATATTCCACCATGAAATATATGATATACCTTCTAATCCGAAAGGACTATCGGTCAGTACAACACCATCACAATCACGCAAAAAGCCGCATTACTTTCGTACATTGAACCCGTGCATAAACACCCAAACGACATTTGAGGATCACGAGAGCCGATAATGTTTGTACTTATTATCATTTTTACGCGATGGCAATTAGAGAAGATGCGTTACTATCATGAGTTGTACTAACGAGTGATCGACTAACAACTTAAAATAAAAAAAATTCTGCCTTGCCTTGCCGCCCTAGCTAATGACCATGGCAAGTAAGTGATAAATGATCAATATTCATTGGGCAAAGAAATAAGTAAGGGGCCCCACATGTGGGTCCTTAATTAGAACCTAATCATCTCCCATCTTTCAATGCAAACGTCCTCTTTCTCAAAGAGTAGTGTGTCATTACAATATTACATCAAAGTTGGCTTGAGGACGGACAAAGACTAGATAAACATATTGCTATATTAGTTCAAACTCTCTGTGGCAGAACTCTTATAAAATTTAGAAAGCCATGGGCCACGATATTTAAGGTATTTGCCATCCATACCCAAACAGATCAAGTGACAAACAGAACAAAATTAACTACACCCTTGATAAAGGTAATTTCATTCAACCAACATACTCTCTCCGGCCAACTCTCAGACGGGTTAGTTCAATGGTCCCAAAAGATGAGATGTAAACGCGTATGTTCACACATTCTCTTCAACCAGTATCTCTCTAAAGTCATTCTATCTTGATTTACCATTAAATCCGTCATAAAATCACAGCCTTTTAACCAAGGTTACTATCTCATTATAAGAACCACTTGCATCCACCCAGAGAACACCACTCATCTTAGTTTTGCACCCACAAAAATGGAACAGTCAGGTATTTCCTTGAACTCTTGTCCCTTAGCCTCCTCTTCAAGCAATCGAAACGATAGTGAACCATTCAATTTCTTTCCAACCAAAACTCACAATTCTCTTGAACCACTTCCATTCTTAAGTCTGCTTCATTCACACCAAACACAAATGGAGGAAAATCCTAACTCAAGCCATGCAGAGAAGGAGGATCTCATTGTTGCCTTGCACATTGGCCCTCCTGATTGCACCAATGGCTCTATGAATTCATGTATTGATGTTCACAAGAGAGATGCAGCTGCCAAGTATTGGATACCAAGTCCTGCACAAATACTCGTCGGCTTCACCAATTTTCCCTGTACTATCTGCAATAAAACATTCAATCGCTACAACAATCTTCAGGTTTAATTTTTTTTCCAGTAATTATGTATTATTTCGAAAAGAGAACTTGATTGCACAATATAGTTCAAGAAATGTCAGAAGCCTTTCCAAGATATACTCACACGAGAGAAACCCCAAAGTATAAAATTACCTAGAACATGTTGATACTAGTTAACTGCATCTCTGACAGTCCAAGAGATTAAGAAAACATTTTAATTATAGAAGGGATGATGCTACACAAACAAAAAATTTAACAAAAAAACATGGATCAAAGGATGTTGTGCTAACATGATGAGCTAAATGTAAATTTTAAATGATTAAAAGTATAACAAAAGTACAAAACTATCATATTAATGCCACGTTATTTAGTTTTTATTTTTTTATGTCAGTTTTTTGGGTAAGTCTAATATTATCCTTTCAAAAAAAAAAAAAAAAGATGACATGGGTCAAGGCAACTATCAAGGTAAATTATATTTTACTCCTTTGAACTATTACCTTTGTTTTATTTTGTACTCTCAGCTATAAAATTTCTCGCGTTGCACCATAAAATATCAATTTTAGTTCATATCACCCCAATAGATAATGATTGTCAATTTTTTGACGATAAATGTGCATATGAGTAGTCTGTATTGTCAATAAACAACTATCTATTGAACAAGTACAAGTAAAAAATCAAGAAAAATAATCATCCATGACTTTGTCCTTCCTAAGCTCTAAATTTTCTTCTATTAGCCCACGTTATTTCTCTTCCTCGCAACCATTTGGTTGTAAAAGAGGTAAAATAAAGTAATTCTAGGCATTTGACAGAAAAGTTTTCCTTTTCTTTTTGACAGATTTTCAAGTTTGTCGTTATCTATTTGAATGATATGAAATAAAATTAATATTTTAAGGTGCAATAAAATTTTTTTATAGTTGATGATATAAAGTAAAATAAAGATAATAGTTTAGTGTTTAGAGGAAAAAAGTGTAATTTACTCCAACTATCCTCCCAAATCCAAGTGAATTAAGCTCAATCAATAAAAAAGTTCAAGTCAGTTGTCATATCATTTTGGCTCTAAATTTGGTAATATAACATTATTTCTATCTAAAATGAGTAATATTACATTAACCAAAATTAGGGACAAAAAAATGATCAAATGACATGACAGCTGACGTGTAAGACGATTGACTATTACTGTGCAATATTAGTTCACTTCTTTCCTTGATTTGCACATTGGTCAGCCGCCTTTCATGTCAACTGTCATTTCATTTGATCACTCTTTTTTGCCCCTAATTTTAGGCCTTATAGCATTACTCGTCGGGAATCTATTGATCTCTTTCTTTCTCTATCTCTCTCGCACACACACACACTCATTTATATATTTATGTTTTTCCATGGCAGTCTCATGGTTCTTCTTGCAGATGCACATGTGGGGTCATGGTTCACAGTATCGCAAAGGTCCCGAGTCTTTGAAGGGAAAGCAGCCACGAGCCATGTTAGGCATTCCATGCTACTGCTGTGAAGAAGGGTGTAAGAACAACATAAAACACCCAAGAGCCAAGCCCCTGAAAGACTTCAGAACACTTCAAACCCACTACAAGAGGAAGCACAGCTTGAAGCGCTTTGCGTGTCGCAAGTGTGGGAAGTGGTTGGCCGTGAAAGGTGACTGGAGAACCCATGAGAAGAACTGTGGTATACGTTGGGTTTGTGTGTGTGGTTCTGATTTCAAGCACAAGAGGTCTCTCAGAGACCACATCACATCTTTTGGCAATGGTCATTCCCCTTTTGTTTCTACATTTGATGGGGTTGAGACACATGAGAGTTCTATGAATTCTCTTTCCATTTCCATAGAACTCTGTATCAATTAGTGGCATTTTATATAGAAGTTTTTGAATGTAGAGGGTGAAGTCATTAGGTCTGTCGATGGAGCTCATTTCCTAACTGATAAATCGTATGTAGATTGACTTTTTTTTTAATCCATAATTCGAATCTAAGTCTTTTATATCATATTTTATAAATTTGAATTTAGATATAGAATTATGCAACACTAAAGCGTTAGTCGCCGCATAATTCTTTACCATCGATTGTGTTGGGGTAACCATGAGACATCTCGAAGTCAAGTGGATTTGTTTAAGTGATTAAGAAATTTTCCATCCCGGGCACGACATGATATGAGCTCTTTTCTCCTTAGCCCTTCCCGATTCTCAATAAGATAGTACATTTCAAGAAAAAAATTATCATAAATCTCTTGTTATTGGGATTGAATTACAGAAATCCATCTATCTGTAGTATTTTGGTTGTTCCTTTGATGGAGAGAACCTCATTGATGAATCTGTCAAAGTTATGATATGATAATCCTCCTTGTCTAGTAGCGTTTTCCGCTTTCTGTTTCCACTGCAAAGCTTCCTTCTTCGTCTCCTTCCCTTTCTCTCCTTCCATCAATTCCTTGATAGCCTCCGCCACCTGCTCACGCTTCACAGTGGGATCAATCTCCACACCAATCCCCCATACCTTGCAAGTGTATCGACAATTCGTGTATTGCTCCCCAATATATGGCCAGCAAATCATTGGTACACCTCCAGATATGCTCACTGTCATAGAATTCCAACCACAATGTGTCAGGAACCCTCCGACTGAACAATGGGACAGTACTTGATCTTGTGGACACCAGCTTACCACCAAGCCTCTGTCTTTAGTCTCTTCAATGAAGTATTCTGGTAGTTTTGCTGAGTTTCCCAGGACAATGTCAGGACGAAGAACCCACAAAAATGGTTTCTTGCTACTGGCAAGCCCCCATGCAAACTCTATAAGCTCTTGATGAGTCATCAAAGTGACACTACCAAAGTTATCATACATGACAGACTTTACCTCTCTTTGATTCAACCATTCCAGACAGTTCAATCTTGCTTATATAAGCTTAGGCCCAGTGATCCTATTTGGGTTTTGGGCATGTTCTGCAATAACATAGGTAGAGGGCCCAAATAATAGATGGAAGAGAACTTGGATGTTATTGCATTGAGGACTTCATTTTCCAAATAGTCAAAAGTGTTGAAAATGATAGCAGAAGCATTCATACAGTTTGATGCTTCCTCGCCCAAGAACTTGAACATGAAATCGTTTGGATCGGTTGTTCTCATGTAGCTTGGCAGATCCCTCAGCCAGATGTCTCTCATGCCAGGTATCCAATCAACAGCGGTATCAAGATACCCATTACTAATGTATTTCTCATCTGTATAGTAAAAACAAAATACTGTCAAAACACTTATATCATTGGAATTTATCCAGAGGTTAAGTCTATGGGTCAGAGCCTATAACTCAGCAATCAAACTTATTCTATGATGGTTAGTTCAAAAACCTCAGAACCAACAACTTGTACATAATTGGCATCTCCCAAATAACTTTGTAGTTTCATTAATTGATATGCATGGTAGTAGATCATAATCAGCTTAGTATTATAACTTACATTCTTTTTGGCAAATCTGTTTGGAGCACTCACCCAAACAGAATACCCTTCACCAATTTGCAGTTCATATTGACCAAGCTTTTGTTTGTTCTTCAACTTGAGGACTTTCCCTTTAAGTTACATCAAGTTTTATTCTGATAAATAATACCATTACCTTCCGAAAGAAAATGCTTCCATGGCTTCCTTTTCAACTTATCTCATTATCGTTGCTTATTCTGCCTATAATCATCCTGGCCATCCACTTGGAAGTGGGTGTGGACGGCATAGATTAAAATCCCTTGAGTTTACCCAACCAATAGATATGGTGTCCAAATTGTATAATGAAGGTGAAAATGAGGACTGTAACATCCACCTATTCTATTATCCATGCAACAAAATAGGTGTTAAAAAGCATATGGATCATTATTTAAACTGTAGTTAAGAATTGGACAGCAAAAAGCTCATTAGATATTCAAACAAATTATAAAGGAGATTAGAAACAACAATTACTACCTCGAATTGGCAGGATGCCTCTGTTAACAAGCTCAGGAAAATGGAGAAAGCTCATGAAACTGCAAGCAGCAGCAGGCCAAAACAAGATTGCCGGAATGCCTAGTTCATGGCCAGCTTGTATAGCAAAGCTCATGACCCCATCCAAATCTATGCAAGTGACTTGGGGCACATCAGGAGTGATATTCACCTTTGATATTAGTTTCAGAAATGGAGTGAAGCACTGTTTTTGAGTCGATTTAGACATTTTGACGATCAACTCGGTTGCATCGCCTTCGAAACTAGAAATCATCATGTGTGGCTTCAAACCTGAAATCATCAGAACCCATCAAGGCATCTGAACCTATGGATGATGATAAACCTCTGTGATTGAACTCAGTGTTGACATAGGTTATATGAGTGCCTCTTGAATGTAGAAGTTTTGCCAATTGCATCATGGGGTTCAAATGGCCTTGTGCTGGGAATGGAATGCAAATGGCGTGTGGCTTCCTGATCAATCCCATTCTGACTCTGAGAGGAGTTCAAAATGGCTGATGAACTTAAACAGAGTTTCGTTGGTTTAATGTATTTGTAGAAGGCATAAAAGAAAATTGGTGGAGGGCTCTTTACTCACTGTTGGAGATATAACAGTAGCCTAGTTTATTGGGACTTATTACTGCCTAGTTTATTAGGGCTTATTAAGTTTTTTCTTTTTACCTTTTTATCTTTATTGTATCTTTCATTGGCTATATATATAGGACTCTACACTTAATTTGTATCCCTTTTTCACTTACCTTTATTCCAAGTTGGTATCAGAGCCATACCCTAACCCTAACCTCATCATCAATCACCACAGCATCGACAGCCATCAGCCCCTCCTCCACGTTGCAGCCCAGTGCCGATATCAATCCGCCACTACCCAGCAACAAAACCCCAAACTAATACACACCGACACCATTAAAACCAGCAAATAATAAAACCAGCAACACCGACTGTAACCCCAGCAGCACCTAAACACATCAAACCAGCGAACAACATTCTGCCCATAACACATACACCGACTAGCATACTAAAACCGATTGCCCATCCACCATACACCATCAAACTCAGCCTACCCAAGACCACCAACAAACCAGATAGCCCTCTCCACCGACAAGCCCACCGACAAAAATACCCAGCAAACCAGTCTTCTTCATCAAACAGCAACACTAGCGACGTCAGGCCTACCCAAACCCCCAGCGCCTATCCTAGCAAACCAGCTTTCCAGTGACATCAAGAACCAGATCACCGACTGATCACAACACCACCCAAGCACCTTCAGCAGTCCAGCCTGCAACAAATCAAAAACCAACCTACACCCAAGCAAACCGACAAAGCCAGACAACCCACAGTGGACGACTTTTATAGTCCAACCCACTTTTACAGTCCAACCAAACCCATAAACCGAGACAGTCATATTAAATTAATCACTCAAACCCAAACCAGCACCTAAACACAGTGTCCAAGCCCACGGTTAGGTCGCATTCTTTGTCACAGCATCGTGTTTTGTCTTCGTGCGTCTAATTATTTGGGACTGTTGGACCTTTTAAGAGGGTTGAATCCTCTTCTCCGTTGATATGCTCTTGATACAGTAGATCATTTATTTATATTTATTGATTTCTGAGCACCGTGACCTGATTATTTGAGAGCTTTCTGGACCTTCTTTATCTGTTGTTACTGTTCGACTGGAGGTATATTGTTCTTACTTATTTTATCCATCTATTTATTTTAGAGTTATTTTTTCTGTCACGGGTGCCCTCATATTGTTGTTGATACGACTACTACTGAGGGACTTGAGACCCCTACTGTTGAGACCTCTACCGTTGAGACCTTTACCATTGAGACATCTATTGGTACTTCCACTTTTATGTTTGACCACTATACAGTACCTACTAGCACAGTTGCATTACCAGCACTGCCGGGTATGATATCTCAGAAAGTTACGGCACAATTGTTGAATGGCCGTAACTTCGTTGAGTAGTCTCGCTCATTCTAGCTTTTCTTAGGCCGTGTAGGGAAGCTTGGTTGACTGACGGGATCTCACTCAAAGCCAACTAATGCCGACCCTGGATATTCTATGTGGTTCTCTAAGGACTGCGTCATTCTTTGATGGTTATTTGACTCGATAGAGTCATCTGTTTGCAGGATTCACTAGTTTCATAACTCTGTTTCGAAGCTATGGAGCGTATTATTAGAGATGTATTCTCAGTCAGGACGGGGAGTACGTGTTTATGAGCTTTCTTAGGAACTCTCATATGCTCGGCAAGGAGACATGACCGTTTAGGATTATTATGACTATTTGACTCAGCGCTGACTTGAGTATGAGACTTTACGTCCTCTTGCTGCTATTTCGAGGATAGAACCCGAGGGAGCAGCATTCTTTCATTCTCGAGAGTAGGAGGATAGGATTCACAAGTTCCTTATGGGACTTCGTGATAAGTTTGAGGGACCTCGTTCCCAGATCTTGTCGATGTTGACACTTCCTTCTCTTTATGAGGTGTATGCGATGATTGAGCAACATAAGTGTCGTGTCCGTATTGCTTCACTTCCAGTTGCGGCCTTGACTAATCCGGCTGATCATATGACCCTTGCAATTGCTGCAGGGTCTCGTTCAAAATCCTCAGTTAGGGGTGGGCAGCGCTCGGACTAGCGCCGTCAGGGTGCCCAAGATCAGCGCAAATAGGGGGATTCTTGTCAGTGTGATTATTGTGGCCGACTAGGACATCTCAGGGCTACTTGCTGGAAGCTCCATCTAGAGCTTAAGCCGCCTTCTCGCGACCGTACTGCTGCTGTTGCTGAGGTACCACCACTTACCACCGCTACTCCTATTACTGCTCCTCCTTGGCAGAGTGATATGGATGCTATCACTTCCTGAATGGATAAACTTATGTCCGCTCTAACTTCTCAGAGTCCGACTACTACTGCTGTCACCACTACAGGTATATCTCGTGCCTATCATGCTTGTGCCAGTCCGTCTCCCCTTTGAATGCTAGACTCGGGTGTGAATGGTCACATGACAGGTGAGGGCCATCACTTCACCAGTATTGACGAGCAGTTACATACACAGGTTCACTTAGCAGATGGGACACATGCCCCTATTGTTAGTAGGGGCACAGTTCACCTCCCAGATGGCTTTACATTACGTTCGATTTTTCATGCGCCAAAATTGGCCATGAATCTATTATCTATACATCAGTTAGCTAGAGATTTTCACTGTGCGATTGTGTTCTTATCTTATTCGTGTTATTTGCAGGACTTGAGTACCAGGAGAATTATTATCAGGGGACATGAGAGAGATGAACTGTATTATCTAGGCGATCCGCCTCTGGTTTTATCAGTTCCTCCATCTACATCACCTGCACCTGCTTTGTCTTTATCTGTTGTTAGCTTGTATGCTAGTATTTTACCTAATAATTGTCGTTATGATTTTTCATCACAAACTGTTCAATTGAAGCATGACCGTTTTGGACATACAAATTTTAAATATTTATGTATGTTATTTTCTACTTTGAGCAATGCTTGTGTTGGTGATAAACTTGACTGTGTTATATATTCCTTATTGAAACATGTTAGGACCAGTTATATTCCTCGCATGCACCAGTCACCCAAGCCATTTGACCTAATACACTCTGATATTTAGGAACCCTCTCCTGTTACTGCTCTGTCAGGTGCCCTATACTATGTGACATTTATAGATGACCATACCCGTTGTACTTGGATTTACCTTTTGCATAGGAAGTCCGATGTACTCCCTATAATCACTCAGTTTCTACGGATGATTAAGACACAATTCGATGTCATTGTTCATGTTCTTCGTTCAGATAATGCCAAAGAACACGTGTCTGATGCCTTAGTATCTCACCTTTCTTCTCAGGGTATCTTTCAGCAACTCACTTGTCCATATACTTTTGAGCAAAATGACGTTGCTGAAAGAAAAAATAGGAGTCTGATAGGGATGGTACGTTGTATGCTTAGAGGCATGGGGGTGCCAAAATCTTATTGGCATTTTGTTGTTTTGACTTCTACCTTTCTATGCAATCATACACCGAGTCGTGTTCTTTAGCATAGGGCTCCCTTACAGGTTTTATTTCCTAAGCGAACACTTTTTTGGGTCCCCCCTCATGTTTTTGGATGCCCATGTTTTGTTCAGAATCGGCCTCCTATTCGTCATAAGCTTGATGATAAAGTAATTTGTTGTGTCTTTGTGGGCTATTGTCATCAGTCTAAGGGGTATCGGTGTTATGATTCTGTTAGACGTCGTATGCATCACAGTCTAGATGTTACATTTCTTGAGCATATTCCTTATTTTTCTTCCAGTCCTGTGTCTGTCCCTTTAGTTGATGATATTTCATTTGATTTTCCATTACCCCCGGAGCCAGAACCATTGATCACTATCACTACAGAGTCATCGGTCTCTCCTCCTCCAGAGCCACTTATCCCTAGTACAGAATCATCGACCTTTCTTCCTTTGCAGGTTTATGTTTGTCGCCCTCACTCTTATCCCTCTACTGATGTCCCCTCTATCTCAGAAGATGCAAGTAATGCTTCTCAATTTGTTGAG